AAATAAAAATATACAAAATATCACATAAGTCATATTATATTATGAGTTTTAGAACCTTGTAAACACTGTCGATGGATCCTTGAACTTTATTAAAGCATTCATCGAACATTTCCTTCCGACGTTTCTTAACATTTATTAAATTTATATTTACCGACGTCATCTCATCTTTTATATCTTTAAAAGTTTCCTTACAGATCTTTAATTTATCATTAGCTTCCTTTAAGCGCCTTGTTATCTTAATGTAAGAAAGAAAAAGAATATTATTAATGAAATGATATAATCATATAGATGTTAAACAGAATGCACCATACCCCTTCTTTGCAAGAGAAACTCGCGCTTGCTTCAGCTTCCAATTCAATAATTTTCTCTGTTTCATTTTTAATGTGAACTTCTGAACTTATTGCTTCTGACTTCAAATTATCCGGTAAATTTGAAAAATCTATCTGAATGCTAGATGAAACAAAAATTGTTATTAATTCTATAAAGATGTTAGTAACAAAGCCAAATAGTTTTTTAATGATATTACTATTTATACAATATTTATGATAATACAGACATACAAAATTTATTATTGTAATAGTGTAGTAACAGGCAGATTTCAATAAGATGTTGAACGATATTACAACATTTCTGTGTTTTGACAAACGAAAAATGAACTAGTTGTGCGTGGCATCGTGCCTTAAGGCTAACTGAATTGATTATGGAATGTATTACTGGAAATGAGCCCCAAGTCCAAAGACAGTACAGCCTTTGCAGCCGCGATAAGGGCAGCAGCTGAAAACATAGGAACAGTGAAAACATTGCGCCGCTGATGACGATATAGATTCTTGACCTTGGTGGAGTCTCTAACGAAAATGACGTTAGCAAAGCACTCAATTGAGACTTCAAATTGAGTGCTTCGAATTGGGACGACAAAACTGTAAATTAGACGAGTGAACTTGACCAAAGACACATCAAGACGACAACGAGCGGCCTTTGTAATAATCATAATAATTGGAGTGGGTTAACTGTCGCATTTGCCCGCTGTTTTAGATGCCTTGGTTTTGGACATCAAACGCATAAATGAGAGGGATCAGAGAGAAGCAAGTGTTCTAACAAATGCGGCACGGAAAAGCCAAAATCCTTTCTATGTACAGTAGACAAAGAAGACCGGAACAGCGGGAGCCATGTCTCTGTATCGGGGACGTGTAAGGCATTCCGTGTGGCACTTGCCAAAGCCACTAGAGAGCCGAAATGACGCGATTTTTACAAAGAAAACTGAATAGATGTGCCTTGGCGCAAAATATACTGCGCCGACGTACCTTTGAAGACAAGATCGATATCTGCCCTCTCTGCAAAAAATATATGAATATTCAGGATAAATCATGGTTCGCCCATAAATCTGGCACGGCAGCAATATGGATCATAAACTCGAAGGAGACCACCGTCAATGACAATAAAAGCGGAGGGGTTTCGTCTGGATCAAGACTCACACGACCTACTGTGTGAGCGTCTACCTTTCACCAAATGAAGGCGTGTTTTACTAAAATTAGCGTGTTTCGCCAGAAAGTAGCAAGCATGGAAGACAATATCGGCCAGTTCAACTGAGAAGTCATTGTAGAGGGTGATTTCAACGCAAATCGGCTGAATGGGGCGCCAAATACTCGGACACCAGAGGAATTGAAGTGAAAAACTTTGCAGCAAGATTTGACCTTACTGTGCTAAATACTGGGAGTATTACAACCTTTAGAAGACCAGGATATTAGGAATCTATCCTCGACATTACGTTGGTCACTCCAAGGACAGCGAATATGATTGAAGAGTATAGTGGCAGTGATCATCAACATGTGACATATAGTATTGGATCTGGTCCGACTCGACCATGGAACTTTTACAAACGGAGGTGGAATGCTAAGAAGCTTGATCCTGAAGCGTTGCGTGCAGTTGATCCAACACTAGGTACCCGCAGAGAGATGGAAGAAACAGTCCTTAGAACTATGAAGCAATTATCACCTCATTTAACGCCTCTATGCCACGACCAAAAAATCAGGGTGTACACAGTCCAGCATATTGGTGTTCATCAGAGATAGCAGAACTACAAAAAAGATGTCATGCACAACGTCGTCGCGCTACAAGAGCTGCAACACGTTCCGCCTACCAAGATATGTATGCAAACGAGTACAAACAGGCTAAGAAGACTCTGAATAAAGCCATAAAATCAGCTAAAGCCGGATTGTGGAAAAGATTTGGCACGATCTCAACAAAGATTTCTGAGCCTATCAAAGCCTATCAAATTGATACAAAACGACTTGGTAGAGCTTTACCAGAAGCACCAAAATCTCCTGCTCTGATGAATAGCATCGTAGCGGAACTATTCCATAAACACCCACCACGAAAAAAAGACAGTACGTGAAAAACAGTAAAACTACACTCTTCACTGTCAAGAAACTACAAGATGCGGCAAAAACCATAGAGACAGGAAAAGCAACAGGCCCTGATGACATTGCAGCCTAGGTGATCAAGACTGTAGCCCTGCAATTTCCAGATATTCTCCTGAACGCCTACAATGCCTGTCTGGCAACCGGCACTTCTACGGTCTGGAAGCGGCAAATATTGGTCTTAATAGATAAAGGTAAAGGAATCCTTGTAACACCATCGTCGTTTAGACCACTCTGCATATTGCTCGAAAAGCCCATTCAATGCAGAGTGCGCAACGAAGATGGGTCAAATCAAGACCCGAAACGTATGTTCTTTAAATAAAAACATTTTTCATTAAAACTGTTTTTTCAATTACTGGATGGATGCCCAAGAAACAATTTTATTATATATTTTATTATATATTTTATTATATATATATATATATATATATATATATATATATATATATAAACCGTCAACCGTTGAACCGTGCGGACGTGTTTTTTGAAGTGTCGTAATGTCTCTGACACAATTAAATATTTAGGAATCGGATTCCAAAAAAACCTACAACTGCTGTGAAACAAAACCTTCTGCAAGTGTGGGTGTTTGTAAGAACTGTGGCAAAATTTACCATGTGAGTTGTGCCACAAGAAAAGGTTTTAAATTCATTGTTGGAAATTTGATACAGTGCTGTGAGGTGAGCAGTGAAGTGTCGAGTGACAAACATATGGATACTATTAACAACTTAAAACAAACAATTACCGACAAAAATACCATAATAGACGATAAAATGACAATAATAAAGGATAAAGAATACATAATTCAGAATCTTGAAGAAAAAATTAAGATGCTGCAATTATTAAAGCCAAATGAAAAGAATAAAGAAGTTTCGTCAGCTGCACCCAATATTGATAGTAATACTGAGAAAGCAGCATCTAAGAAGCCTAAACATAAATCTACCAATAAAAACAGTGCCAATGCTAATAAGGTCTCAAAAGAACAGGTGAGTGTTGCAGTAGCAACTGCTTTAAAGGAATTAGACAAGCGTAGAAGCGAAACATTCCGAGATGCGGTTGCCAACACGGAGCTGCCTAATCATCGACCCAAGCTGAACAACAATCAATTAGAGCAAATGCGATGGAAATTGGACTTTGGTCCAGAAAAAGAAGACGCCGAAACGAAAAAACAAAGCCATAGAAGGAACAAATGTGAGCACTACTACACTCGCGGAGTTGTGAGGAAGGCTCACTTGCATGTGTTTCGCCTGGCACCGGAAACATCGACGGAAACTCTAAAAAATTATTTAAATGAGAAAAACTTCAAAATATTGAATGTGAGAAAATGGCCTCTAAACATCCGAAAACATATGCCTCTTTCAAGGTATCCGTTGCAGAGAGTGAATTGGAAAGAATAAAATCTCCGGATGTTTGGCCAAAAGGAGTCTGTGTGGACCGTTTTTTATTTCATCTGGGAGAAAAAACGAAGAAAAATTGTTAAACTGGTTTAATATATAATGTCCTTGAACATTCAATGTTTATCCAATAAAACGGAGGCATTAACAAAAGTTGTCCATGACAATAAAATAAACATTTTTTGTTTATGTGAACATTGGCTTGGCAACGAGCAAAATCGACCTATATACGTGATTTTCGGCTAGTCAGCTCATTCTGCAGTAGTATACATATGCACGGAGGTGTTGCTATTTACTGTCGGAAAGCGATAGAATGTGGCGTCGAAATTTACAACAAGCTTCCCAATGAATGGAAATTGAAAAGCAGGAATTGTTTCAATGCGACTGTCAAAAAACATCCTATAGATCAACCTATTTATACAATAAATTAATTCTTTAATCTAAGTTAATTATTAATTGTCATTAGGTTAATCTTGAGTTGTTCATAAATATCACTGATATTACTATAGTTATATTATAATATTGTGATAAAAATAATAATTGTATTGACGTAAATTGTAAATATTGAATTTAAATAAAGTATCTATCTATCTATCTATCTATATATATATATATATATACATTATATATATATATATATCTAATTTTTTTTATTGATATATTGATTTTACTTTTTATGTCAATAAATTAGTATAATAGTTATATTACCTATTCTCTTTCTCCAAAATTGCAGTTGAAGTCTCTAATATACTTTCATCTAAGCTTTCCATATCAAAGCTGGAATCTCCAACAATAGGTATCTTTATACTGTTAATCTGTTTCAATAAATGCCAACAAATTTTGAACAAAGATTGCCAACAGATAATCATCATTAACGTTATAGATTTATGACTAGAGGCGAGGATAAAGATTTTATTACTATCCGCTCTGCTTGCGTACTTACTCTGAGTGTTGTGATTTATGCAACTGGTCGGAGCCAAGAACCAATAAAGATAAATAAAATATTTGACATATTCTGAGTACAGGACTGTATTTATCTTCTAGATTGAATATTTAAATATTTTTACATGAACAGAAATTGATCCATGTTATTATCTTGTTAAATTAAATAACAAAACACTGCTGGAATTTGATTTTATGTGCTTCGTCAAAAAATAGACACTTATAGTCATAAATCTATAGCAATTATTGCTAAATCAATTACTAGTTCCATTCGTAATTTGATAATGGATAAATAAAACAAAGTTTAATAGCAAGTTATGAACTTGTCATTATCGCACAATGCATTTCGCTCAGCCACCTCGTCCACATTATGCTCCCTTGATTCTACGAAATAAAACTGATGATAAAACGGAAGTCCCTCACGGCACAAACTCTCATTCGTCATTAGCCGATGACATCATTTTAGAATTCCTGATAGTACAGCAAATACACAACTTTTTGGCAGTTTGTACCTACAACGACATACGATTATAGACCCGTAATATGCCAAATCTATTTTATGTGAGAATTGATCTTTAAATTTTCAAAGCAATCATGCATTGTCTGTTGATATTTCAATTTACAATTAGCAAGCATGACGTGGACCAGGTCTACAGCATAGAAGAGTCTTATTTTTTTTACTTTTCTACTTTTATAAAAATCATTCAAACATTAAAATGCCTCTTAATGTACAGAAATATAGCACAATTACCTTACAGTCCATGAATACTTTGTGTCGATTATTTTTTAGCTTCAATAGATCATTATCTAATTTTTTAGTACTTGACTGCAAAGTTAAGTAGGTCTCTGATATCTCCTTTAGTTGCTGTTCTGCCTAAAAATATTAGAATGTTCAAAATTATATTAGTCGAAGACATCATTTTAAAATGCCTGATAGCACAGAAAATACATAAATTTTGGCAGCTTGTGACTACCACACTATAAGATTATAGATCCGTGGTATAACAAATCTATTTTATCGGGGAATTGGCCTCTAAATTTCCAAAGTAATCATGCACAACCTGTTGATATTGCATTTAATGATTAGTAAGCATGAAGTGAGCCATATGTAAAGTTTTGTTGGTGGCGCATAAAAAAATGCTGGAACATCCCGTCTCGTAATGAAATTTTCGAGGAATATTAAATGGTTTCAATAATTATAAATACTGTGTCCTTCATTATTGGATCAAGCGGAGTTAGAATGAAGGATATTTTCTCATATATCTAAGAATTGTATAAACAGAATTGTAGAATTAAAGTTATTTACTTGTTTAAGTATGAAAAAAAGTTTTCGAATTTTAACTAGAATTAAAATTAAAATTCGAATCAATTTTTATATTAAAAAAAAGATTAGATTTTTTCTTAAATTTTAGGATGTATATATTTTTTAAAATTCCTAAACAAATGTTTTTTAAATCACTCGAATCGGATGCTTTCTTCTCTCAAAAACTGCTATTTTTTACACTTTCAGCCTCTTATCTCTGAAACGACTGGGTCTTACAAGTTGAATCAATCAAATCAAATGCTGTTTTCTCAATTTCCATTTTCTGCACTACTTGCATCATATCTCCGAAACGTCTGGACAGACTTTTTCCAGAAACTTATCAGCACGACTCTCTATCAATATAAAACAATTGTTTTTTGTATCCCAAGTGGAGGATAGTGGCGCCCTAACGGGTCGTGAGATCGGCAGATTGTGGAGAAATAAAATAGCCCTTGTGGACCAGTTCAGACATCGAAGCTAAACAGTAACAGCCATCATACGTGTATCTTTGTAGTTTCGAGAAAGCTCGAAACTACAAGAAACGTCTAAAACTACTCGAGAAAGCGAGAAAGATATGAAAACATTTTAATTTTGGATTTATAGCAATAACCATCTTACCCTACGAGATGTTAAACATTACAAAACTAGGTTCATCTAGCTTTAAAAAAAAATATTACGGCACAAAATCAAGTTTTGAGTAGATCTAAAAATAATTTTAAACCCTTAGTACATAAAAGTTTATTTAGAGCAAAGATCAAACATTTTGAAATAAATCCAAAAGTTTCACTTATAAAAATAGTAACGTTAGTGTATACGTACACACGTGAGATTTAAAACATTCTACAATGTAGAATACATGATTTCTGCATATTATAATTTATAATTTAACTAGCAAACCCGACGAACTCCGTTTCGCCACAAGATGATTTCGTGAGAAAGGTGAAGAAATGTTTTATTTGTTTTATATTTGAAAAGGAAAAATTTGATTTTATTGCACAACAGTAATGAATTTATTTCGATTACAAAAATGAAGTGTTTTTTAGTTGAGCTTCTCTAAGTAAATGAAAGTGAATCCGCAAATTATCCGTTTCATTAAAGTGCTCTTTGGTAAACCACATTTTTTGTTTTTTGGTCTGACGTTAACACAAACAAAGCGGATGGTTTTCCAACTCGTGAACAGGAAACATATAACTTCCCATGTGAAAAACTATGATTTTTTAAATTTATCCCGCAAACACTAAGCGATTGGCCTTGCGACTTGTTAATTGTCATTGCGAACGCAAGACGAACTGGAAATTGCAATCGTTTGAAGTCAAACGGAAGACCAGTCAGAATCATTGGTATGTCACCAAACCGCCAGCAATTTTTGATTGAATATTGAATGGTGAAATTCAGTGCGTGTACATCATTATTCTTAGCGGCAAGAATTGCTCGTTGAGTTAACCAAGCATAATTCTGATAATTCTCACTAATGTCATTACTCTAATTTTTAATTACGGTGCGTGAAGTTCCAGCAATTTGCATAAAGGCACGATGCCATGCACCACTAATTTTTTTAGCTATGAACCTTGCGGAGCCCGAGACCTTTCCAACGAATGCAAAATTGTCGAAATTCGTGCGTTCTGGAGTTATCGTCAAGAAGGAAAACCCGACTTATTTTTATATATATGTAGAAAATCTATTTGAAATTATTTAAAACAATTATGGATTATATTCATTACTCGAATTTTTAATTACGGTGAAGTTCCAGCAATTTGCATTAAGGCACGATGCCATGCACCACTAATTTTCTTAGCTATAAACTTTGCAGAGCCCGAGACCTTTCCAACGAATGCAAAATCGTCAAAATCGGTTCGTGCGTTCTGGAGTTATATCGCCAGGAAGGAAAACCCGACTTATTTTTATATATATGTAGATATGCTATTGTACAATCATATGATTAATTATTAATGACAAATTAAAAATATAATATGACGAAAAGGAGCATGAAACATTTATACCACCTTCACTAAATATTATAGCTATAGTTTTGAACAAATGCTTTTATAATATTACAGCATATTACATATTTGTATATAAAATTTATTAAATTTAACAAGTTTTTTTTTCAACTCATACTGACCTCGTGCAGTTTATCCTTGGCTGTTTTTATTGCTGTTTGTTTCTCTACAATAAGTAGCTCATTACCCTTAAGCAGGCTATCCAATCTCAAAAATTGTGTTTTCGTTTTATTCCATTCCATTTCACATCTTGTTAATTTATTGAAGTAGTTTTCAACAACCTTAGTAAGACGATCTACATTAACTGCAATATGGCAAAACAAATCAACTATAAAAATTCTTTGTATAAATAATAGTTAAATCGTAATAAAAACAAATCCGATATTTTTTTATAGAGTTGTTCTGCTTTAAGACTTCTAACTATCCTAACATATATTGCATTACATGATTGTACAAGTGTATAATTCGGTATATATATATATATATATATATATATATATATATATATATATGAATGGTAGAGTCTTGGATTTGTGTATATTTTGTATAAATAATAGTTAAATCGTAATAAAAACAAATCCGATATTTTTTTATAGAGTTGTTCTGCTTTAAGACTTCTAACTATCCTAACATATATTGCATTACATGATTGTACAAGTGTATAATTCGGTATATATATATATATATATATATATATATATATATATATATATATTTGAATGGTAGAGTCTTGGATTTGTGTATATTTTGTAGAGTTTCGAACAAGAATCCAAAAATAATACAAAATAAAAAACAAGAAAAGTTTTTAAAAAAACAATTTCTTTATTTAATTATTTGTTTATTGTCGACGTTTCGGAACTAGGTACGTTCCATCTTCAGGACATCTGTCAAGAAACATGATCTTGATGAGATTTTAGCAAACAATATGTTTAGGAAAAGAAAATAGATTTTTCTTAAATAATGAATTAATTGCAAAAAAAATATAATAATGTACAGAAATATGATAATATGTTCAAAATGAAAATGATAAAAATGATAAAAATAAATGAGTGGATTATCAGAACAGGATATTAAACATAATAGAAAATTTTTTGAAAGTTATGGAAATTTTTTAAGAAAAGGTTAATGACAAAGTTGAATTAATTACCTGTATGTTTGAATATTTGTTAGCACTTTTTTACTAAACAAGCTTTTTTAACAAAAATGAATTTGTGAGTTAATTTTCCGCCGAATAATTAGATTTTGTAAATCAAAATTACTAAAAGATTTGTCTTTTTTAAAATTATTATTTGAAAACACAAATAATATTGTTCTCTGGATGTTGTTCGATTGGCTTTTGAAAATTAACTAATTGAAACTGGTGTGTCCTTTGTAACACGTGTAAACACTTGAACGAGAGATGTGAGATTGTATGGGTGTGTTTTTATATGTTAGGGTGTGAATACTTAAATTGTTGATCTTAAAAGGAAGTCGATATTAATTGTTTGTCAAAAAGTGTAAAAAATGTAAATATGAATCATGTAATAGGTTGTGATCTGATCTAATGTTGACACTGTTAGAAACATTTATGAGAATGAGACAACTCTCCGCGAATAACCTTCTAAAGATGCAACTTTCATGATATAAAATCTTTGGAGTGAAATTAAATGAATGGGCGTTTTCTATAGAGTGTTGTACTAGGGTACTTTTGAAATTTTTTTGTTTATGGTGGACCACACTTAGTTCATGTTGTCTCATTCTCTTGTGTACATATTGGGAGGTTTGTCCAATATATTGAAAAGCACAGTCATTACAAGAAACAGAATATACTACATTAGTATCGAGATTGGATGGGGTAGGGGATTTAATGTTCGTAAAGAATTGGTTGAAGGAGTGTAAGGATGAGCCTGATACTGAAATGTTTTCTTCTAACAAAATTTTGGCAAAATAATAATATAAATCTTCAACATATGGTATGCTGCAGTAAATAAGATTGGTGTTTTTGATGTTAGTACTGGTATTGGGAGAATTAATTTGTGTTTTTAAGAAAGTTCGTCTTTTTTGAATAACTGAATGAATGAGATTTTTTGGGTAACCATTTTCAATTAGAGTTATTTTTACTAGGGATAAATTTTGTGGATGGAAAGTTTGGTGAGACAACAAAATAGCATGGTCTGTAAGGGAAATAATAGTGTTTATCTTATAGTTTCTGGGACAGTATGAGGAATAGTGTAAGTATCTACCCGACCATGTAGTTTTTCTATACCAATTTGTTCGAATAAAGTTATTAGTGTTGTAAACGGATACATCCAAGAAATTAAGTCTGTTGTTATTTTGTAGTTCATGTGTGAAAATTATATTATTGTTAAAATTATTGAAGAGATCTAGTACTGTGTTTATATGATTTTTGTTAATGATAAAAAAAGTGTCATCTACATATCTAATATAAAAGTTAATTTGAAATTTCAAAGTTGAGAAAACGGAAATTTCTAGTGTTTGTAAAACTAAGTCGATGATTCCGGGAGATAAGGGACATCCCATAGCTGCGCCTTTAATTTGAGAATAAAAGTTGTCTTGGCAATGGAAATAGGAGTAATTTAAAATAGTGTTGATAATATGAGTGAAGACTGTTTTCGGAAAGTCAGTAAAGTTACAAATTGTGTGCCAACGTTTATCGATTGAGTTTAGGATTAATTCATGTGGGACACATGTAAAAAGGTTGACCACATCTAAGCTTAGAAATAAGAAACCTGAAAACCACTTATTTCTAAGCTTAGATGTGGTCAACCTTTTTACATGTGTCCCACATGAATTAATCCTAAACTCAATCGATAAACGTTGGCACACAATTTGTAACTTTACTGACTTTCCGAAAACAGTCTTCACTCATATTATCAACACTATTTTAAATTACTTCTATTTCCATTGCCAAGACAACTTTTATTCTCAAAGTAAAGGCGCAGCTATGGGATGTCCCTTATCTCCCGGAATCATCGACTTAGTTTTACAAACACTAGAAATTTCCGTTTTCTCAACTTTAAAATTTCAAATTAACTTTTATATTAGATATGTAGATGACACTTTTTTTATCATTAACAAAAATCATATAAACACAGTACTAGATCTCTTCAATAATTTTAACAATAATATAATTTTCACACATGAACTACAAAATAACAACAGACTTAATTTCTTGGATGTATCCGTTTACAACACTAATAACTTTATTCGAACAAATTGGTATAGAAAAACTACATGGTCGGGTAGATACTTACACTATTCCTCATACTGTCCCAGAAACTATAAGATAAACACTATTATTTCCCTTACAGACCATGCTATTTTGTTGTCTCACCAAACTTTCCATCCACAAAATTTATCCCTAGTAAAAATAACTCTAATTGAAAATGGTTACCCAAAAAATCTCATTCATTCAGTTATTCAAAAAAGACGAACTTTCTTAAAAACACAAATTAATTCTCCCAATACCAGTACTAACATCAAAAACACCAATCTTATTTACTGCAGCATACCATACGTTGAAGATTTATATTATTATTTTGCCAAAATTTTGTTAGAAGAAAACATTTCAGTATCAGGCTCATCCTTACACTCCTTCAACCAATTCTTTACGAACATTAAATCCCCTACCCCATCCAATCTCAATACTAATGTAGTATATTCTGTTTCTTGTAATGTCTGTGCTTTTCAATATATTGGACAAACCTCCCAATATGTACACAAGAGAATGAGACAACATGAACTAAGTGTGGTCCACCATAAACAAAAAAATTTCAAAAGTACCCTAGTACAACACTCTATAGAAAACGCCCATTCATTTAATTTCACTCCAAAGATTTTATATCATGAAAGTTGCATCTTTAGAAGGTTATTCGCGGAGAGTTGTCTCATTCTCATAAATATTTCTAACAGTGTCAACATTAGATCAGATCACAACCTATTACATGATTCATATTTAAATTTTTTACACTTTTTGACAAACAATTAATATCGACTTCCTTTTAAGATCAACAATTTAAGTATTCACACCCTAACATATAAAAACACACACATACAATCTCACATCTCTCGTTCAAGTGTTTACACGTGTTACAAAGGACACACCAGTTTCAATTAGTTAATTTTCAAAAGCCAATCGAACAACATCCAGAGAACAATATTATTTGTGTTTTCAAATAATAATTTTAAAAAAGACAAATCTTTTAGTAATTTTGATTTACAAAATCTAATTATTCGGCGGAAAATTAACTCACAAATTCATTTTTGTTAAAAAAGCTTGTTTAGTGAAAAAGTGCTAACAAATATTCAAACATACAGGTAATTAATTCAACTTTGTCATTAACCTTTTCTTAAAAAATTTCCATAACTTTCAAAAAATTTTCTATTATGTTTAATATCCTGTTCTGATAATCCACTCATTTATTTTTATCATTTTTATCATTTTCATTTTGAACATATTATCATATTTCTGTACATTATTATATTTTTTTTAGCAATTAATTCATTATTTAAGAAAAATCTATTTTCTTTTCCTAAACATATTGTTTGCTAAAATCTCATCAAGATCATGTTTCTTGACAGATGTCCTGAAGATGGAACGTACCTAGTTCCGAAACGTCGACAATAAACAAATAACTTTTCTTGTTTTTTATTTTGTATTATTTTTGGATTCTTGTTCGAAACTCTACAATATATATATATATATATATATATATATATATATATACGAGGTGTGTTCAAAAAGTACCCGGAATTACTAATAATTAAATTTCGCGGGTCTGGAGTGTCTGATTGTCAAAAATTTTTTTTTATTGTGTTGGTATACATGCCCCTAAAGTATGATGAAATTTTCAGCTATATTCACTGTTTACTTTGTCTGTGGTAGTCGCTAAGGTTCGACGTGTTTTTCTGAGCTCGGCGATTTTTACAATGGAAGAATTGAAAAGTCAAAGAATTTGTATTAAATTTTGCGTAAAAAATGAAATAAAGTGTTGCAAAGTGCAAAAATTCACCAGATATGGCTCCGTGTGACTTTTTCCTATTCCCAAAGTTGAAGAGACCCATGAAAGGACGGCGGTTTTCCTCGATTGAAGAAAATCGCTGAGAGTGCTCAAGGGCATATCAAAAAGTGAATATCAAGGGTGCTTCGAAAATTGGAAAAAACGCTGGCATAAGTGTATTATATCTGGGGGGGACTACTTTGAAGGGGACCACATTAATGTAGACGAATAAATAAATATTTTTTTGAAAAAACGAAAATTCCGGGTACTTTTTGAACAGACCTCGTATATACATAGCTGGGCA